CGTCTTTCCGAATGTTTTTGGGTTTTTGTATGCTGTAAATCTAGGAGGGATACATTATTCGAATCACGAACCCTGTTGAAAACTGAATGTGTCCAATTAAGCGTCAAATCCGCCCATACTCAGCCCTCAAAACCGGTTCCGCCATAGGGTTAACCAGGAATTAAGTGGTTATGCCCTAAATCAGCATGCCCGATTCTCAAAGGATGAAGTCACTCATAGTGATTTGCATATGTTTTTTGTTCATTATCGCTGTTGGGTGTCTCGGTTTTTTGCATGGTGACCTCGTCGGAAGCGTGTTTTGTTTGAATGTTCTTTGGTTAGCAGAAAAACAGATGTGTATGAGGTCGATCCAAGTTCATGGATTCCGCATTGAGAGACCTATTGCCTGTTCACTGGAAAGGCACATAGTACGGTATCAAAATAAGTCGTTCCTTGACGTGAAGCTAACGAAATTTCCGTTGGAATCCGACGGCTTGTAGAACCGGATTATGGCCAGGAACCCTATGATCAATTGGNTTTTTTTTTTCACTGCTGCGGTCAGTCTCAGTTAGGGTTTCCTAAGGGGGGTGGGGGGAGGGAACTGAATGCATGTATTGGTCGAGGTCGAAAAGGCTTCAATAAAGAGCATGGCTTCTACTGGCCTTTGAGGATCTGACCAGACACAAGGGTCGAATGTATCTGGCCCGGGCACAGTGTGTATACTTTTTCTGCTGGTATTTTTGAAAGTGAGCCGATGTCGTTTCAGTAGGCATTGTTTTTGAGAGAGTTTCTTGACGTCCGTTTTAGACCAAGAAAAGATGCTTGGGCTGGGAAAAACGGTATCGCTATCATTACTAATCTCAGTAAATATTCATTCGCTCTTGTAATACATGCCTGTCACTTTTTATTAGTATTTTACGATCAACTAGAAAAAATATTATAAAATACTAAATTAACTTAAAAAAATTACTTTGGATTGGGGAACTATTCACGACTTGAAGATCTGTTAAGTCTTTTGTAAGGTCAATAATGCTAAAGGGGGTTCCGTGAATTCTTTATTACAATGAATCACTGTCTGTTCCCGGAATCAAGACAGAACTAGTTTGCTTTCCAACTTCCACTATATTGTTATCCCCTGCACGTTTTATGAGTGGTGATATTGACTGCAACTGCGTGCCGCTTTTCCGTTATAGTCTATTTGCTCAAAGGTTTTCCCGATCAAATGGTCGTGGGGATGGCGCTCTTGGTGATTCATATTTCATAGTCTGTAAGATTTATGGGTCATAGCCACGATATTAAACACATTTTATCACTTGCTTACAAAATTATTGCTTTTTCGGCCGTGGCGTTGATGTAGGAGCACTTTCTTCGCTACTCCTTTCCGATTCCTTGCAGTTCAAGTAATACTCGCACCTCCTCTACATGAACGAAGAGTTGATGGCATTTGAAAACCCTAACATCTTGTTTTATTGTATGAGAAAGGATAAAAAAGGATGCTTCTTGGCAACATTCAATCCCCTTTCCGGGTGCACCTTCCCATCCAGCCTCCATTGAGAGTCGTAGTGGTGTCTCGAATGTGT